AACCGAAGCAAAAAAAATCCAAAAACAGGGATTTTGACAAGAAAGATGAGAGGTTGACATCATTGCAAGTGGAAACTGTGACTGAAACTTCCGACTTCAAAGGGTATAGTCGGCCCAAGAGGACAACTAGAAGAGCCCTGAACTTTCACTATGACATACTGCAAGAAAACGAAAATTTCGAGTTCATATCGAGATCAGACTCAGAACTCCAACAGCAAGAAAACCTATGTTCCGATACAGCTAATGATTTCTGTACTTCTTCCCTTAATCAAGTCCAGGACGATGAAAATAATCCAGGTGGAGAAGAACCAGTCATATCATTTCTGATATTTAGCACCATCCCAAAGAAAAGAAGACGAAGCAGCCCCTCAAATGAGTACGATAATGACAGAGAAATAGAGCAAATATCTGACTGTGGTGACCAAGAACACATAGCACGAGCTTTGTTGCCAGTTGGTCATGAGAACTCCATGCTGACGGAGGCAAGACCAGCAGGAGAGTCAAAGAACACGGATATGGCATCAAATGACCAAAGAAACACCAGCAGAGATTCTCTCCAGTTCCAGTGCAAAAGTTTACACATGTTTCAGACGATGTTCCAGGTGCGATTTCCAAACATTCAAAGAAAACGAAGATCTGTCGGAAGCAATATTGCAATATCTAGCACATCAGCAGCAAAGGACATTGTCCAACATGAAACAATAACTCAGCATATTCCGGGTATGTCCTCTTCAGAAATAAGAAGTGATTACCTCTGTTCCATGCTGCCTGGGGTCAGAGGAGCGACCATTGAAAAACCAGATGAAAATCTACCACGAGAAGTGCATACTCCTCAGTGGTTGGCAGAATCGAATCATTCAAAGAAGCTGAGAAGAAAGAGATCTAAAACAATTACCCGTGCCCGAAACTTCCGTTCTCTAAAGAGAATTTTAAAAGGTATCCTTCCTGCACAAGATCGCGCAGCTTCAGACAAACCTCAAAGGCTTGAAGCCATAGTTTCAGAAATGCAGTCAACAGTGTCTAGAAAGAAGCGTACTAAGAGAAACTCTATAATGAGCCGACTCCATGCAAGGAGATTGCAAATTCAGTGGAGAGCTCACCTACGACATCGCCCCACATCATTCTTGAAGTCAATAGGTTTGCAAAAAATCTACCATATATCACCTGTAAACTTTACCAAGATATTCAAAACGAAATCAATTCTGTTTTACCAAATGCAGGTACATCTCCAGATGGACTGTGCAAAACATTATTTTCTATCGACACAATCTGTGAATGGTTTGAGCAATTAGAAATTAACAGAGAGAGCCCTTACATTAGACAAAACGCACTGATTCTACATCGAACAAGACATCAAGAGCGAAACTCACTGGTCCTGTGTAGGAGGGATGGCTCCATCATACCTTATGGGAGGTTTTCCTATCCTCCCAGGAGAAAACTTCCACGACCAATGGTGATGCTAGATGATGAAACAACTAGAGTATGGAAGCTTCTGATGGTTAATATCAACAGTGAGGGTATTGATGGAACAAATGAGGAGAAAGAAAAATGGTGGGGAGAGGAAAGGACAGTGTTCCATGGACGTGCAAACTCATTTATTGCTCGCATGCGTCTTGTACAAGGTACACCACACGCTTTCCTTAAGATGCTGTGATGAAACTACAGTCTCAATTTGTGAACCCTACTGTAGCACAATACAAGAGGCACAATGATATAACAGCAGTCTTATTCTAATAGGTGATAGAAGATTCTCACCATGGAAGGGATCTGTTGTTGATTCAGTCATAGGAGTTTTTCTAACCCAGAATGTCTCAGACCATCTGTCAAGGTAAATGGCTTTCCGGAGATAATATACAAGACAAAGGGAGTAAAGGCAAAAACAAACCTTTTTACACCGCTTTTTTGATCTTGCAGTTCCGCTTTCATGGCAATGGCTGCAGAATTTCCTAACAAGTTGAACTCCAACAAGAGACCATGCAATGAAGAATGGGGAAGCTCACTAACTCATGAGCCACTGCTGTACTTAGAGGATTCGGGTGATGTTGGATCAGCTCCATCAATTTTCAATCCAAGTGGCATCATTGTACATGAAATTAACCACGAAGAGGACAACGATGCTGTTAGTAGTGATGAAACCTCTACAATATCTGGCAGTTTTACTAGTTCTACAGGGGAATCAAGAGTTCTGCCACTGAATTCTCCCAAGAATGGCTTAGAAACAAACTTTAGTTCAGAAACAAAGGAACATGGCGAGGACAAAGGAGAAATATTGGAACCATCTCAGGATTCCCTCACTTATCAAGACTCCAAGAATTTGAGGCTTGAAATAAATGTTGACACAACAGGACTGTGCTCGACAAGTAAAACAGAGAAAAGAGATTGCACAGATGGCTTTAGTCTCAACAGCTCGGTTTATCCTTGTTCAGAGCTGTTAGATCCGTCACAAGGTACCATACAACAGAGGCATGGAAGAGGCAGCATATCACAGTTAGATTCAATTTCGGTAAATAAGCTTTTCCTTCTTGAAACTGCAGAAAGAGAAAGTCAAATCCCAAATAATTATCAGATTCACTCCTCCCAAGGAATTTCTACAATCTCGTCTAGTCCTCCAACTTCTCAATTTGTCCTCAACCAAGACATGTTAGATAACTCCGAGCCATTGAGAAACAAAACTGTTGAAGACAGTGGACTAATGAGTAACTATCAGCAAGAAGAGAATTATGTTCTTCAGTCGCAGAATAAGGAAGGAAACAGAAGACTAGAGAAACTTGTACATACAGAAAGATCGTTAAGAGAAATCCTAGGTATGACAGAAAACACCAGTCTCCATGAGAACCAACTGAACATCCAGAGTGAAACATCACAATCAGAAATGGAGCAGATGCGCCCATCTAGACGAAACGACAGGAAAAAAACATCTACTTCCAAATCAAAAGGTAGAACCACTAGGAATGAGAAGGACTTTGACTGGGATAGTTTAAGAAGGCAAGCAGAAAATGGTGACCTGAAAAGAGAGAGAACAGCAAGGACAATGGACTCGGTAGACTGGGAAGCAGTTCGATGTGCAGATGTTGATAAGATTGCTAAAACTATCAGACCACGAGGGATGAACAACATGCTTTCAGAAAGAATAAAGGTTTTACAAACAGAAATTAATCTGTCAAATACCTGAAAATGTAAGAAAGTCAGACAGCCTACCAATGTGAATCTTGTTCTTAATATTGGGCAGGACTTCCTCCACAGACTGGTTCGTGAACATGGAAGCATTGATTTGGAATGGCTAAGAGACATCCCACCTGACAAAGCCAAGTAAGGATAATTTAACAGTTACAACATATTGTTTCATAATAGTGCTCTCAGAATGGACAGTGTTCGGCAATTTATTTTTGCAGGGAGTATCTGCTGAGCATAAAGGGGTTAGGTCTGAAAAGCGTAGAGTGTGTGCGGCTTCTAACACTGCATCATCTTGCTTTCCCTGTAAGTTAATAGTGAAACTCCAGATGCTACATATGTAGAGTAGATCTTTAAGCCCATAATTGAATTACAGGTCGACACGAATGTCGGGCGTATAGCTGTTAGACTTGGATGGGTTCCCCTCCAGCCACTGCCTGAATCGCTGCAGCTGCATCTTCTAGAGCTGTAAGCATCACTGAAAGGATCCCAACCAAATATGAGTGTGCACGAAAAATAGCTAACCCTAAAATTCGTTCAGGTACCCTATCCTAGAATCAATTCAACAATACCTATGGCCCCGTCTCTGCAAGCTTGACCAAGAAACATTGTAGGAAAACTCCTGCTTTCCCTTAGTGTCTTATGTTACTGCAGATATATATAGCACTCAAAACCCTGTTCTTTATTTAAGTTCGCTGACTCCATTGCATTATCCAATTCTAGGTACCAGCTGCACTACCACATGATTACATTTGGAAAGGTAAATGAAATGCCGAAGCAGGTTTTGTGTCTTGCCTTGATCTAGAAAGTTATTCCATTTGTGAATGTCACCTCCGGTGGCTAAGGAAAAAGAATATGTTTTGGACGGTTTGCAGGTGTTCTGTACCAAAAGCAAACCTAATTGCAATGCATGTCCACTGAGAGGAGAATGCAGACACTTTGCAAGTGCATTTGCAAGGTTACACTAACAGAAACTTTTTCTACTAGTTTATGAAAAAAACAGATCATAGAGAATCATGAACTGAACTATTGTTCATGGTGACTAAAAGAATCAAGCATGAAGATTACAGATAAACAAGAGATCAACCAAAACACTGAATCTCTATTTGCAATGATTTTGTATGATATACTTATTAACAAATGAATTTTCAAATATTTTGTTTCTGCATTACGATGTCAGTCCTCAAGTCTGCACATCAATACTAAGAAAAACTGGAGACCCTAAAACTCAAACAAGACCAAGTTGCTCAAACACAGTCATTTAATAGTCAGTACTTTTATCATCCACATTGTATCACAGTGCAAGGCTTGCTCTACCGGGGCCAGAAGAGAAAAGAATCATTAGAGCTGATGAAAGAGAAGCTAAACCTGAGCCTGTTGTTGTCAACTTTCAGCAATCCCTGTTTCTTCCTCCAGGCACAGACAGACCACAAACAATGCAAACTCTAGAAGCCCTAAACCCCGAAGCAAAGAGTGAATGCAAAAACTGTGAACCAATTATTGAGGAACCAGCAACACCAGAACCAGAGTGCACACAAGAATTGGCAGAAAATGACATTGAGGATATATCATGTGACGATGCAGAAGAAATTCCTACAATAAGGCTTAACATGGAAGCATTCACTAAGAATTTACAGAACTTGCAGATGAGTACCGAACTTCGAGAAGGTGATCTCTCAAAGGCTTTGGTAGCATTAAGCACTGAGGCCGCATCAACACCTATGCCCAAACTAAAGAACTTCAGTCGACTGCGAACAGAGCACCAAGTGTGAGTTGCACCTTTCTCTTAGCTTTTAACCAAATTTCCTAAACAGCAAATTTGAGAACTTACTCCATGTTTACGCACTAATCCCTTTTTGTTTGATTATGTGACAGCTATGAACTTCCAGACTCCCACCGACTTCTAGAAAGGGTTAGTCCTTTTAAATGGTTAAGAAGATACTTTCCATCCTCGTGCCTTAAAAAGTTTTTATTACACTGTGCGGTGGATATCATTGCAGTTAGACAAGCGAGAACCTGATGACCCATGTTCCTACCTACTAGCTATTTGGACGCCAGGTTAGAAGAAAACACAACAGGAATTGACCATAACTAACTCTCTCCTAGGATCAAATAGCAGATCTTGCAAATATAAGAATTTCAGCATTAGATGCATAAAAAACAAACTAACTTTGGAATGTACAATGTGTTATGCTAGGTGAAACGGCTAATTCCATTCAACCACCAGAAAAAAGATGTGTTCGACGAGAAAACAATACCCTGTGTCAGGAGAAAACATGTTTCTCATGCAACAGTATACGGGAAGAAAAGTCACAAATTGTAAGGGGAACTCTTTTGGTAAGTTCACTCCAGATAGCTGTCAAATAAGATTGAGTAACTTTCAAGTGTCAAAAAGGGAATAACAATGCAATGACTGGTTTATGAACAGATACCATGCAGAACAGCGATGAGAGGGAGCTTCCCTCTGAATGGCACCTATTTCCAAGTGAATGAGGTACCATCTGTCAAAACCAAAGTCAATTTGAACACTAAGACAAACAAAATTTTGCCACAATGCTTGAATTATGTGAGTTATGTGCGCAGGTTTTTGCTGACCATGGCTCTAGTCTGAACCCGATTGAGGTTCCCAGGGACTGGATATGGAACCTACGAAGAAGGACTGTCTACTTTGGAACGTCCATAACTGCAATTTTTAGAGGTAAAATTTTTTTAACAGTCACTAGTTTCTGTCTATGTATGCACATCTGTATCAGATGCAAGATAAATCTGAATGTATTCTGAAATATCAGGTTTAACAACAGAGGCTATTCAACGCTGCTTCTGGAGAGGTATGTTAATGCTTAATCTTTTCTTCATTTGATCTTGACTTGCATGTAAGATGTAACTTATCATCAAATCTGCAGGATATGTTTGTGTAAGGGGATTTGACCAGAAAACCCGGGCACAACGACCTCTAATGGCAAGACTGCGGAAAGAGAAACTTCAGAACCAATGAAGACGAGGATTAACGCATAGACACTCGTCCCAACTGACCTAAATACGAACATAAGAACATCAACAACTCTAGGTAATTGAATCTGCTCAGATTTGTGGGAGAAGGTAGATCTCAATGTAAAAATATATAGCTTGCAGGTGCCGAAACAAAGTCCAAGTATTTTCCCACTGAAAACAAGTTTCTGTTTTCCTTGTTAATTGAACTCGCCGTCTGCTCACTGGAAATACTACAAATGTTTGGATCATGAACTGTATAATAATGTAACTCAAATCAGATTCGATGGAAAGCAAATGACATATATAGAAATGGAAATTTAATTTTCCATTTAACACGTGATCTAATAATTGAACCCATTTTCAACTTAATTTAGCCATTTATCACAGCCAAGCACATGAGGAATCGAGCATTGACCCGATTTCAGCGAATACCAAGCTTGAATCTCACTTTAAACCCAAAATCAAGGTCAGTCATAATGCAAACTCTCAAATCCAAACTCGGTCCACATCAGACTCAATGTAGATGAAACCCATTTTTCACAGAAAATGAACGAAATCAAACTCAATTAGGAGCAAAGTAAACCTACGTATGACTCAAAATGGATCAAACACAAAACTCAACAAAACTTAGCGGATCAAACGGATCGGCATTCGGAATCACGAACGGTTAGCAATCGAATTTCTTCAGGTACCAGGCAAATTCCCATGAGAAATAATTGATTCGAGATCGAGGAACATACCTTTTTCTCGGATCCGATTCACGGTTTCGACAGAGTGCAGTGCAGAGACGTTCTGGAGAATCTCCAGTGGAGATCGAGGGTTTTTGCCGCCTCAGCTTTTGATTTTGATTTTGATTTTGATTTAATTTGTTCTTTTTCCCTCCCAATTTATGTTTTCTGTTGTGGGCTTTTGAAAAAAGCCCATTTATCGTATAAATCGGCCCTTTTAGCAATATGATGCCCGAATAGTGAAGTTATCATGTGATATATTATATAATTCGTATGGTTACTGAATTTAAATTAGATATGCGTATAACAAAAATCAAATAAAATATAATGCGTTTTGGATATGATAGATAGCACTATTTAAATGTAAGATTTTTCCAAATATTGTTTGGAATTAATGAGAAGTATTTGGCTTAAATTAATGACATTAATCTTGGATCTTTGACCACAAATATGGACCAACTTTCAAAAATCGATATGATTTCCGCTGCTACAATCTTAAATTAAGAATTTTAACATCAATTTATCTTATACTTGGTGTGGATTCGTATATCATTTTTCGGATTTAAAAAGTATAATCATCCATGGAAAATTGAAATAAGATTTCATGATTGCGTTTGGTACATTGGCAATAAACAAATGGATAGTTGCACGCAATGGGATTCACGAGCTAATGTACATCTCAAATTCTTCCATCTAAAATAGATATTTATTCGTGTTTTATTGTAATTTTAATTGGATTTATATTTTTAAGAATTCAATTCGTATTTTTATAAAATTATTTGCAGTTTCATTCAATATTTTCGCTGTTTTTATACTATATTCGAATTAAATTTTAATTTAATTATTTTGATATTAAATTTTATTACAATATAATTATATGTTATGTTCGTCGAATATAAATATGTATAAACATGTGTCTGAAACTGAAAGATATTTGTACACGTAACTTGACGTCTTTTTCTTTCTTTTCTATTGGATATAAAAATAAATAAAACCATGTTGAAAAAAAAATATTATTTAATAAAATAAAAAATGTAGAGCAAATGAATCCGGCAAGATTCGCTGAACCTAGCCATTAGCCTTGTTTTGTAATCAACTTGCATTAATAAATATAATCAAAACATTTATAATAGAATATCGAATTAACATTTGAATTCTGATTGGACTGGGTTTCGCATTATTTTCTTGCGTATTTTTTAACGAATTAATTATCTTATTTGGATAATGGAATATATTAGCTGATATTATCATAAACAAACTCCAACTTCATAATTTTTCCCAAAAAAACAACATTATTTAATATAATCAATTCATATTTATATACATATGACAATATCATAATTACGAAAAAAATATTTTTTTTATAAATATGGTTATAAAAATAAAAGTGTATAACATAAAAGTAGATTATGTTTTGTTAAGAGAATAAAGAAGACAATAGGTAGGTAGGTAGGTACATAATGCGAATGCGGAATTGCGAGAGAAGGTGCATGAACGGTGTGACACACGCGCTGGAAGAGGCGCGTGAATGAAACGTGAAGAGCAGACACGACTTCAGTGTACAGACCCCTGAACCAAAATACGGGGGGGAAAAAAAAAAGAGGGAGCCCATTCCATCACATTCCCTGTTCTATTTATTCTGCCTCCCTTTATCCAGAATAAAATTTTTATTTAATTCAGCGTTATTTGAAAATTCGACAAGATATAATTTTAAAACAATATTTTATTAAATATCCAATATAAATTTAAATTATATATATAATTGAAATAAATATATTTGAAAAATGGATGCAACCACAAGTAAAAAAACCACCGCCACAAGTAAAAATTCACAATATATATATATATACACAAGACAAAACCAGCAGTAAAGTAAATAGATGATTTTTTAAAAACTTTTAAATAAATATAAAAACTGTTTTAAAACTATCTCACATTCTATTTGTATATACATATGATAATTATTAAATATTAAAAGAATTTCCGTACTTAAAAACAAGAAAGATCAAACAGCTTTAATCATATTCAACATGACACACTTGATTATAAATTAGTAACATATTGCACATTAAAAAGTATATTTTTTTTTTCTTAAAATATAAGAATGCATTTAACTCCAAGATCAAACAAGTTGAATATTATCTTGTTTTTAATTAATTTTATACATCAAACAATGATATATGTATTTGGAAAATCGACAAAAATCGATTCCAACTTTGGATAAATGATGATTTCCCGATTTTTTATTTATTATATATATCGAAAAAAATATTCTTATATCTAATGAACGAACAATTTATTTTGCTTATCTCCTAAATTGTATTCGTTTATTCGAATATTTGAAACCCTTGATTTTATCTTCGATATATTCAGCATATTTAAAATTTGTTCAAAAACTTTCAACACGATTTAATTGTGAATTGCAAAGTACTCTAATTTTCTTTGTGGTATATTTACATGGAACAAAAAATAATGTATATGAAGAAGATGAAATTTCTGTCAAATATTTCGATAAAAGGGACTAATTTCATTCCATATTTATCAAACATTTTTTTATTATTTAGAACTAAAAGTTTTGGTTTCAATTTTTAAAAGTTTAATTAATAAGGAAATAAATAAATATACTCGATGTAAAAAAAAAGAAGTTTAATTAGAATATAGGAAGGACGAGGAAGGCATACGACGGAGTTAATTAATCATCAACAGGAAACGGCACCGAGTTCACACCCTCCCTCATCGACCGAAATTCCAAGGGCGAGGGCTTCCGGAACTTCTTCAACAATGGCGATTTCTAGGGTTTCTGAGGTTTTGTGATCACACCGACTGTCATCTGAATCGAAATCTTCCATGGACATGCCCGGTAGAAGATCCAACTACACTTTGCTCAGCCAATTTCCTGTTGATTCTGTCTCACCCGTCTCCGTTACCGGAGCTCCGCCGCCGTACTATGACTCCATGTCCAGCGACAACAGGAGCGCAACAACCAATAACAGCGGTAACAACAGCAAAACCAAGGCGGATAGAGCTGGATTCGATTGGGATCCCAGTGGCGGTGATCACAGGTTGAGTACCCAGACGAATCGGGTTGGGAATCTGTATTCTTCGTCCCTCGGGTTGCAGAGGCAATCGAGCGGCAGCAGCTTCGGAGAGAGCTCCCTGTCGGGGGAATATTACATGCCCACGCTTTTGCCTTCGTCGGCTAACGAGATGGATTCGTTTGGATACGCTCAAGAAGATGGGTTTAGACTCGGCTTTTCCGGCGGCGGAGGAGATTTTAGGGTGAAGATGGCTGCGGAGTCCACGGGAGGGTCGTCGTCCGGGAAGAGCTGGGCGCAGCAGACGGAGGAGAGCTATCAGCTGCAGTTGGCATTGGCTCTGCGGCTTTCGTCGGATGCCACTTGCGCAGACGATCCGAACTTTCTTGATCCTGTTCCGGACGAGTCCGCTCTTCGGACTTCGCCTAGCTCAGCAGAAACTGTTTCACATCGCTTCTGGGTAGGGTTACAATTGCTTCCTTTCTTCATGGTTTTGAGTGATTCGTGTTTTGCGCAATCTTTGGTTCGTGGTTTGTGCTTATGGATCGAATTGCTGAATGCGTGTGGAAGATTATGCTATCTTTGGGAAATAACTAATGTAGGGGATTTTATAAAACCGTTGAACTTGCTTTAGGGATGCAGTCTTGTTCTTTTAGAGCTTTCAAGTTAGATTCCTTAACCAAGTGCCCTAATCTGGAGAGGTGTTGGAAAATCGCTACGAAAGTCATGTAAATCTTTCCTTTTAAGTTTAATATCGCTACGAAACTGATTTGTGCTCCTCAAACAGTGGGTAACTGAGAAAAAGATTGGAAAATTATTGCATATCTTTCCAGTTGAGTCTGAAAGTTAGGAAGATTGAATAAAGATCTTAAGAAAAGTGTGAGATTTATTCTTTTATGTATTTCGGCGCCTGATTCTTCTTTCTTCTGCATCAGGTCAATGGCTGCCTATCATACTTTGACAAAATTCCTGATGGGTTTTATATGATTCATGGACTGGATCCATATATTTGGACCTTGTGCGTCGATCTACAGGAGAGTGGTCGTATTCCTTCGATTGAATCACTAAGGTCTGCAGAGTCCGGTGATGAATCTGCACTTGAAGTGATCTTAGTTGATCGGCGTAGTGATCCAAGCTTCAAGGAACTGCACAATAGAGTCCATGACATATCTTGTAGCTGCATAACCACAAAAGAAGTTGTTGATCAGCTGGCAAAACTTGTCTGCAATCACATGGGGTAAGTGCTCTCTGAATTTTCATAGTTTATCACAATTAGTTTTTGTTCATGTCCATTTTAAATTCATTATTATCTTAATTTCTCGCCTCTTTTAGGGGTCCAGCTACCACAGAAGAAGAGGATTTGGCTCCCATATGGACAGACTGTATTGATGGTTTAAAAGAATGCTTTAAACTGGTGGTTCCCATAGGTAGCCTCTCTGTTGGCCTCTGCAGACATCGAGCTTTACTCTTCAAAGTGAGATCCCTACTTTTTTGCTACTGTCATGACATTTAAGGCATACATTTTAGAATGGTCAATTGAATTTGATTTCTTCATTCGTCTGTGTTGATAGTACTTACAATACCTTCATGCATTTGAAGAATATCATAAAAAATCAGCTCTTAATGACCACAGACACAGAGCATGTTATTTGTAATTATAATTGGCGGTTTCCCTTTTTATGTAGTGGAATGTAAATAGAAATAGTGTGTTATACTTACCATGCGGTGCATGCAGGTGTTGGCTGACACCATTGATTTACCCTGTCGAATTGCGAAGGGATGCAAATATTGTAAAAGAGATGATGCTGCATCATGCCTCGTCCGATTTGGGCTTGATAGGTATGGTTGCAAGTGATTTATATGGTGTTGCTATCTTGTCTATTTACACGTGTTTTGTCCTAATTCAACATGTTCTCATTTCTAAGATCAAACACCAAAATATTTTGTTACAACAAAGTTGTTGACATTTTGGCACATTCTAAACCTGTTGATTCCAGGGAATATCTGGTTGACTTAGTAGGGAAACCAGGTCAATTATGGGAGCCAGACTCCTTGCTAAATGGTCCCTCATCTATTTCAATTTCTTCACCGTTGCGATTTCCGCGACCAAGGCCAGTTGAACCTGCCGTTGATTTCAGTTCTCTGGCCAAACAGTATTTTTCAGACAGCCAGTCGCTTAATATTGTTTTTGATCCTGCTTCAGGTACTTTCAACTGTAGTGACATAGGTAGGCTTTATCTGCATTCTGCTTATGTATTTTCCGATGTGCATTATTTCACGGTACTTAATCACATGCTATTGGGAGTTTCCCTATCCAGAGCAATTTTGATTGGCGTAGAATTTTTTTCCAGATTTTGAAAAAAAAAATCCAGATTGACTGATCAATACATACTATAGCTTTGTGAATAAACCAGTAATTCGAAACTCTCTATTGCTAAATCTGTGATTCGTGAAGTTATCTTGCTAAATACTCATATATCTGAAGCTTAGCAGTGTAATAGTGGTTCTCTTGTCTTTTTCCCTGGATTTTGTTTCTACTATGTTAGATTCTCAGTGGGGATATCTGGGTGACTTCAGAAATAGTTGGCATCTAACAACACTAAAGTTGACCTTGTTGAACTGCTTTGAACATATTAATTCTGGTGCATTTACTGTGGGGACAACTTTCTTCATAATTGAACAAAACTTGTGCATATTGATTGTGAACGGTTGCTCTACTTTAATGTCTTTGCCCGCTGTATGACATATGCTGTGAAGATGCACAGAAAATTTTCTTGTCAGTACACTTGATGTTAGTATCTCGTACATGTCACTCTTTTCTACTATACTGCAAGATTATGTTGGAACTTTACCTCTCATATGCTCATTCGTATGTCAGGATTTCTAATTTGAAATGAATGTGCCAAGCATCATGAAGAGCCTTTCTAGGGATTGAATTTAACTGTGTTTTACCGTTGCAGATGAACTTGGATTCTCAATGTATCACAGGCAACACGATAATGTGGGCGAAGAGAAAAATGACAATGCACAATTGCCCGAAAATATGGGTGGTTTTGTGCCGCTCGGTGCTAATGAGCCTCCACAGAACAATGTGCATGCACCAAATCAAGTACAAGCGATGGTGCCTTCAGTAAATGTGCCGTCAATTAGTCAGTGTCTTCCCACAAGGCAAAACAGGGAACTTGGACTTGACGTTGATGATTTGGACATCCCATGGAGTGATCTTGTTTTAAAAGAGAAAATTGGAGCAGGTATTATTGACATTAGATGTTGAAGTGCCACTTTGAATATTTATTTAGTTATAAGAAAGAAGGAACAACAAACCTGCTGCTCACATTAGAGAGTATATTCTTCTCTGGAGTTTCTGGATTGTCTTTAGTCTATGTTTTGGTCTCTTATATTTCATCTATTGTGCTTTCAGGTTCCTTTGGCACTGTCCACCGTGCTGAGTGGCATGGCTCGGTAAGAATGTACTTTATATGCCACTTTATGAGGAGTAACTTTTTTAATTCTTCCCCCACCTCTATAAGCATGATCACCTTTTGGGAGTTTGTTGCTGCGGCTGTTGAAACGGGGAAATCATTTGTTCTGCTCATCATGCCATTTGTTTGTATCATTGTTATTGCTACAAATTTTCAGAAATTGATTATTGCAATATAATTACCAATTTCAGGATGTTGCTGTGAAGATTCTCATGGAGCAAGACTTTCATGCTGAGCGTGTCAATGAGTTCTTGAGAGAGGTCCACAACTGAAACTTTCTCTCGCTCTTTTTTTTTTTTTATTTGGTGTCGTGATAACCGTCCATAATCTTGATTTCTGTATACATGTTAGGTTGCAATTATGAAACGCCTCCGCCACCCTAACATTGTTCTCTTCATGGGTGCTGTCACTCAACCTCCAAACTTGTCCATAGTGACAGAATATTTGTCAAGGTTCCTTTTTTCTCCTTTGTGCCTTTGTACTGAAATGCATCTTTTTTTTTTAATCTTTTGAAGTTGGTAACTGCTCAGATTAGATTTTCGGGTTATAGTATTGCTAATGGATGCAAAGTTTTCTTCTTTTTCTTTTTAATTACAGGGGGAGTTTGTATAGGCTGTTGCATAAAAGTGGGGCAAGGGAGCAATTGGACGAGAGACGTCGGTTGAGTATGGCATATGATGTGGTATGTCTGTCTTTCTTCGTCCAAATTGATGTGGAAATGTTTACAAGGGTGAAATAAGAAGCTTATTCCTTCATGAGCTAAGTCAGTTTCTTTTGTTCAGAAGAGGCTAAAAAGGAAACTTAACCTTTTTCTTTCTCTTTAACAGGCAAAAGGGATGAATTATCTCCATAATCGCAATCCTCCCATTGTCCATAGAGATCTAAAATCACCGAATCTGTTGGTTGACAAGAAATATACAGTCAAGGTTTGATCCGAAAGAGATTGTATGAGTAGATATTTTATTCTGAGGCCCTGTCCTTCTAATGAGAAATTTAGATGAATTCCTCCTTGAACTGTCTTTTTGGATCTATTTTTCGTCTAAGTCCTTGATTCGTCTGGGAATTTCAGGTCTGTGATTTTGGTCTCTCGCGTTTAAAGGCGAGTACATTTCTATCGTCAAAGTCAGCGGCAGGAACTGTAAGTTCAATTTTTTTTTTCAGAAGTAAATCAAGCTGAACAACATAACTCTGTTGGTTTTGTTCTTATTTTTTTTATATGTGAAACTAATTATTCGATGATTTTGAGTTCAGCCCGAGTGGATGGCACCTGAAGTACTTCGTGATGAACCGTCAAACGAGAAATCAGACGTATATAGCTTCGGAGTAATATTGTGGGAGATTGCCACAATGCAACAACCATGGAGTAATTTAAATCCAGCTCAGGTCCTCTCCTTGAACAAGATAATCAGAATATCGTATTTCGTGGCATTTTTTGCATGTCATATTCGTATAATCATAACTTTTTTTTTTGTTTTCCTCCGGATCCATAGGTTGTAGCAGCTGTTGGTTTCAAAGGCAAGCGGCTCGAGATTCCACGCAATCTGAACCCACAGGTTGCAGCGATGATCGAGGCATGCTGGATCAAGTATGTTCTAACTTCTCCTCTCTCTCTCTCATTTGAGAACTCGTATTCTTTCCTTTCCAAATCCAAATCCAAATCCGAGCATCTCGTCACCTAAAATTACGTTACAGTGAGCCGTGGAAACGCCCGTCTTTTGCGACTATAATGGAATTGCTAAGACCATTGATCAAATCAGCACCACCTCAACCAGGGCGTTCGGATATGATGTAGCTAACAATGAGCTGAGAGAGTTTCCAGCGCCATATGCACATACTCTATATACAGCATTCTTTTTGAGATTTGCTGGCTACTCGCTATATAGATAGATTAAGGTACGTTCTTCTCACCGTATTTCTCTACTACGCATACTTTGCAACCCATTCGCAGTTTAGCTGCTCAAGAACACGGGATTTCTGCTTTATGATCTGAACTAGGGGTGAATTATTCAGGTTTCGAGCCGATTAAATTCGGATTCGGTTTTAGAAACATGATAACCATTTAGTTTTTATATTGAATTTGGTTCGATACTTATTCGGTTCAATTTCAGTTTTTATTAACAAAAATACTCATTTTTTCGAAACAGGTTTGACTCGTCCTCAGTCTTTTCGGTTTTAGAGAAAACATAATCATTCGGTTTTTATATCGGATTCGGTTCGATTACGGCTATGTATTATTCGGTTCAAATTGGTTCGATTATTAACCACCCTTGATTTGAATTGCTCGCTTCTTGATATGTTTCACTTTCACCCTCGCCTTTTGTGTTCTTGTACCTTTGACAATGTGAATGAGTGCATGTCTGTCGACTTGTCCTTTATATATTGTTTGTGGTCTTCCGTCTGCAGATTGTTAATGTACAAATTGTGGATGGACCGACCAATGACCATCGGCCCCGCGGGGTAAGCATTTTGTTGTTGTTGCTATACATACATAGTCACATTGTTCGTGTATGCTGAAACGACATCGTCTTGCTGATTGTGAATTTTGTCGCCAAGCTTTCTCTTTTTATTAAGCACTAAGTAACTGCTTCGAGAAAACAAAAGTCGGTCTCCATTCAACGCCACAAAATGTGCCCACGGATCTCAGTAATGGGCCCAACGAGTCCCGTGTTCGGTCCCTCGCCCCTTTTCCTTCGCGTACAAGTAATTTGACCATGCGCCTCATTCGTTCGTTGCTATATCTTCCCTTTCCTGTTGGTTTATCCAAGATATAAAATATTCGACCTGAGAAAATACGCACTTTTAATTTTGCCCAATTAATCTACATTTATATTTAACAGATCCCTGGATTATGAGGATAAGATGTGCATATTAATATTAGATTAGTACATGACGAGGAAAAAGTATGCAAGCGCATACTCTAGTGTATTCAGCACTTGTAGTTTTTTTAAAATTCATAAAATCTTATTTTTAATCGCAAGTTGTATCATTTGTAAAGCTGAAACAATACAATGCAAGCGGGGACTTCCACATGAGCTGAGCTCGCACTGAAATAAAACACAAAGATATTTAAAATTGGATAATTGCGTTTAAAAAATGGAAAAGGAAAATGCTAAAGGCAAAATTAAATTAGGAAAAAAGATCTGAAGAAATGAGGTCAGGAAGAAGAAAACAGAGAGAGAAAAGAGTGAAATCTCTGAGTATCCAATCAGATTGGAGATTTTGGCGGACGAAATCATGCTTCGTTGGAAATATCCAGGTTCATGTGGGCCCCCACCCTTCAATCTTCAAGAAAATTTTCAGATCAACCAAAAAAAACAAAAAAAAAAAAGATCAAATTTCAGACAACCCAAAAATAAAGGAAAGTCAGAGAGCGATCGAAGCTACCAGGAAACTGCCTTCTATGTCGGCGGCGATTTTACAAGCCTGTCCAATGACTTCCCGTTACCCGCCAAATTTCTTGTCCGAATCCGAGCTCGATCACGACCATGGACATCATGAGCTCTCCTCGGCGGGAATTCCCCACCGCCTCTCTCTCCAGATTTTTATACTACAGTTTGTCGGTGATTTCCTCTTCTTCCACCTTATAAACTCTAATCGCGTTTTGCCCGTTTCCCCATTTCTACCTCCTCTCTCCCCCCACTTTCCCTTCGTTTTCTCTCTCCCCAAACGGTAAATTTCCCGTCTTTCCGCTGTTCTAGATGAGCCCAGAAAAAGACAATCCTTCCAAACAACCTCCAGTATCGGGTGCTGCTATTCCCACCATTTCGACCCGACCCGAATCCGGGTCCCCGTACATCTACACTGACATGGACTTCTCTGCTTCTCCGCTATCCTCACCGCTCAGCGGGTTCGAGCCGTTCTCCACCTCCGGAGCTCCGCCACCGGCCGCCGGGATCTGCGGCGACGGAGAGGCGGAGGGCTTCGAGGTACCGCAGCCGTTGGAGTGCTTGCAGGGGAATCCGATTCCGGCGTTTCTGTCGAAGACGTTCGATTTGGTGGACGACCCGAATCTCGACCCGATCATTTCTTGGGGCCAGACCGGGTCGAGCTTCGTGGTGTGGGACCCGGTAGAGTTCGCGAGGGTCATTCTTCCTCGGAATTTCAAACACAACAACTTCTCCAGCTTCGTCCGACAGCTAAATACTTACGTGGGTATCGCTGCAACGCCTGTTATGTAATTCTATTCCTTCTCGCCATTTTTTTTTTCTTGCCTTTTTTTGTTACTTCACTGTTCTCTTCTCTTGCTTCCCTTCTCTCTTTGTATGTCTTTCTGTTGTCCTTTCATGTTTGACTTCTCATGTAATTTTCCCAACTTTCTGGACCTACAAATCATCTGTCATTCTATGTATTCCAGTTTTTGTCGGTGTATGTTTCTGTTCATGTGATTTTTTGCTTGTAAAGCTATGCTGAGATGAGATTGTAAGATACAGTCCGTAAATTTCTATGATTTCAAATGGATGGGAGACCCTTTTGGTTTCTGAAGTTTGTTGCTTCCTCCCCACGCCATATTCACTCTGACAGCTTTGATCTTCAGGTAGATCTTCTGAAAACCAAAAACCCCATCTTTTGTCAAAAGTGATTCAAACTTCACATGCCCTGCTCCGGTTTTGCAATTATAAACATCATATACGCTTACAGATAACCGTTTGTTCTTGATCCCGCCGTGATTGTGCACTTACCTTTCTTGTTCATTCTTGAGTTGTTTCGGGTTTATGTGCTCAGGGTTTTCGGAAGATTGACAGTGACAGGTGGGAATTCGCAAACGAGGCTTTCCGGAGAGGTAAAAAGCATCTTCTGAAGAACATCCATCGCCGGAGATTGCCCCAATCTCAGCAAGCCACCACGAGCAGCAACAGCTTCAGATCGGCTCTTGAGGTCGGGGCTGAGATCGAGAATCTGAGAAAAGAGCGAAAGGTTTTGATAGAGGAGGTGGTAGAGCTTCAGCAGCAGCACAGAGGGACTGCACGCCACATGGACACCGTAAATCAAAGGCTTCAAGCTGCAGAGCAAAGGCAGAAGCAGATGCTCTCATTCTTGGCCAAGTTGTTTCAGAACCCGAGCTTATTGGAACGTCTCAGGAGCCGCAGAGGAGGAGGAGCTCTCGGGTCATCATCATGTTCAAAGATGAGAAGGAAGTTCATCAAGCACCAACAACACAATGAAGGTTCTAAACTAGATTCTCCAACCGGAACCGAAGGTCAGCTTGAGAAGTACACTGCTGATGACACTGGTATGATGGTAACAAACACAGATTTAAGTATTGCAGAAGAAGAGGTTCTACCCTTTCCATTAGCGGAGCAATTCTCGGGGCAAGGGGCTTCAAGCTCGGGAACTGGGCAACGACCAGAACAGTATCTCGATACAAAAGGAAAGGACTTGATGAATCCACCCGAAGAAATGATGAATTCAGAGTACTTTGCTTCTTTCCCATCTCCTGGAGGACTGTACAACGTTGTCAAACAAGAGGAGATATGGAACATAAGTGTTTCCACAATGCCAAGTTCCAGCAACACTGAACTATGGAGCGATGTCATCAACTACGAGTTCCCAGCGCTTGGCCCTGTCTCAGCAGTGACAACAACAGCGACAGGCGGTTTATCTGATGTCTGCTGGGATCTTGGATCCGAACCACTGGCTTCAGCAGTTTCAGAGTTCGGTTTCAATTGGCCAACTGGTGAAAACCCCTCTCCTGATGACAATACCCGAAAAACCGAATGATCTTTAGAGCTTAGAGGCATGGGAATCCACCCCTTCATAGTTACAATAATCCCATTATTTATCATACTGAATGATCCATTTGGTTATGTGGTTTCTGAATGCAAACTTATATATCAATTGGAGCATATTCTTTAAAGGATCTTGTTTCTAATTCTTATATACAGTTTCAGAGTCCGAGGTCTCTCTCTCTCTCTCCCGTTCATCTTGATGATGGATACATAAACAATGAAGAATCTCTCTCTTACTCTTTCTCCTTCTTACAAGAGGATCTTTGTTTCTTCTAGAGCTATAGATTATGTTGCAGGTTTGAAGCGGAACTGTGCCGCTTTGGCTCAGTGTCTGAAGCTGTCTGAATACAATGTGTGTGTATCTGTGTATGTATATGTACGAAGATCCTTGTATGATTTCAACTACAAACCTTGATACATTGCTGTCATTCTTGTTCTTGTTTTGGAGTTATATTCTTCTACTGCAAGATCTTAACCTGTCCTTGGTCTCTCTTATTCCAAGTGCTAACAGCATTTACGCATGTACCATACATGATAAAGACGTTCCATACTATATTTTTTTTCAAGGGATGACCGGAGAATTAGACCGGTAGTAAACCGGAAATGAGATCTAAACCGGTTTTTATTTCAAGGCTTAGGCTTGTGGGTTTGGGTGTAAATGTAATCCAAGTGGGCTTCTGTCATCATCCGTCTCTTCACGCATTTTTCATCTCTCTCACTCTCATCGCATCTCTCTTCTCCCATCAGCTTCCCACAATTTAATGCATGACATAAAAAAAACCTTGGTTATTAATTATTGTATAGATAAACACACACAAAAAATGTATAAATTCCATTTCCTAATGATATTTACTAAAGTTCAATGAACATGAAATATGACACACACACACATATATATATATATATATATAAAAATATATAATACGACCGGAAAGGGTATAATGTTTACGTGGGAGAACTCTTGGGTCATGTCGGATGGATTGTCTGTTTGCGTAGCCCAAGCCCAACCATTCTTCTCCTTTCCTGAGTTCAGTTCCCACCATTTTTTTAAATGAATAATTAAAAGAAAAAATGTACAATATATATATATATATATATATAATATCACACGAATGAGAAAAACAAATACAAGAAAAAAAGATATGTGGACTTGAAACTATGGAATTGGACACCCGGAAATCATATATCGATGTAAAATAAACATTTTTGGTTTATATCGTTCGATGATATATACTAATTAGTATTACCCATTATTTTTGCATGTGTAATTTACCCAAAAGCCTAAATCAACTTGAATTTATGCATTCGAAAGATTTTCACCTTTCCAGTGATGAGTCCGTGTTAATCCCTCATGAGCATTTGTGTATGTATAGATGCGTGTATAGATACGTGGATCAGTACGTGCATGTACCTTGTTCGTGCGACGTGAGACGAAACGGACGAGACTCCGATAATTGATGGAGAGCAAGTAGAGCAAATACAACAGCCAACGTGCAGACTTTCTTCTTCATTTTCTGGCTCACACTCATAGAGAGGAGAGAGAGAGAGTATATATATACATACATATACACTCATGTATACATATATATGTGTGTCAGAAGAAAGCGATGAGATACGTGTAGATCTCTCACATGGGAGTTACACTTGCAGATATGTCTCATTGTGCGTGGGTCCCTTTTCGTGAGTTGCCATGTTAGAAATTTTTTTTAAAAAAAATATCTTCTATCGAATTTTTATTTATATATCCCTTCTTCAACATAGCATATATGGCGTGGATCAATGGTAAATATGCACACATATATGTGATAATTTCAAATGAATTGTTTTGGCCACGTGGAAATCGAATTACAATTGTCACTTTTGAATTTTGAATCATTTTCTTGACGGTACAATACAGATAGTGTTAGAAATATTTCACTCTTGCTCGCACTTGGACAATTATAACTGAACTATATTATATAATGGTATTAAATCAAATCAAAATTACGATATTTTAAACTAAAATAAAACAAATTGAATTAAAATTTTACAATAAAAATAATTTAGTAAATGTGTCTAGTTTATTTATGAATTTAAACAAAGAGTCCACCTACCAAATGAAAGATTCCCTCTCGTTGTTTGAGGCATGCAATGACAAATGCAAGACGTACAATAACTATTTCACCGTTTCTCTAATTTAGCATGCAATTATATGCTATCATGATGGTCTTTGTGAAAAAATGCTTAGGTTGCATATATTTTAAGACAAAGCTTTATGTGTATGGCAGTCATTATCATACTATTTTCATATAAATGACAACAAAACATTATTCATTTTGAAAATTTGGCAAAAGCCCTTCCTTTTTTTTGTTCTTTCTTTGACAATAATTTGAGCCACCCCATATCACGTAATACTAATAATAATTCAATATCCCATAAAAAGAAAAGATGGAAATAAATGACTGACTTTGTCTGGATTTGAGTGGCGTTTGAATAATAATTAATTAGATATAATATATTATAAACAGCAAGTTGAGATGGCCGAGTTGGTCTAAGGCGCCAGATTAAGGTTCTGGTCCGAAAGGGCGTGGGTTCAAATCCCACTCTCAACATTCCTTTTTATTTTTTATTTTAATTTAAAAATAAGTTTTTCCAAAAACTTATTGGGCTCACATATATCCAGCCCATATTTTCTATTGGGCTTCACTTTGACGTTCTCGTTTTACGCCCGTTATGGATAAGATCTCGGTAAAAGCATATATATATATACACATACACACACATATATATATATATATATATATATATATATATCAATTTCTGAAGTATAATTTGATAATATATTCGTGGACATAGACCACATGTTAATAAAATTTGAAATTAAAATTCTGACCTGAAAATCGGACAAATTTGTCCTACAATAAAGAGTTAGCTGATATTCTTCTTACTCGTCAACCTTTCTTCTTCTTTTTGGTTATTCCAAAGCCTTCGTCGGGTTTTGACGATCTTGCAAGGAAACAAACAAGATCGTATGTTGACCGAACCGATGATGTATCCGGTTTTCTCGAGTGTCGATTCGAGATTTTGCAATATTCTATTTAAATAAAATGTAAACGATTTGAGGTTTCCTGGTTAGGTATTCAGACGCAGCTAAATTTCCTATCAACTTTTAGGTGTGGAATATGTAATTATTCTGCATCATATTCTCTCCACACGTATCGATACACATAATTGTAGTTTATTATTAATGTCCCTAAACTCATCTATTATACTATAAACTTGGTATGTTAATAAACAATGTGCTAAGAGTTTTAACCTATTATTAATCATAGTTTATAAATATTTCTGTCTTTTTCATTTTAATACATAAAAAAAAATTCTATATGACATCACAGTTTAAACTTCCAAATATCGTTTAGAAATTTGATCCATCAATCGCTCAGCTATTTTGATAATTATTGGTCAATCTTTCTCCTGTATAGAGAGACATTTAAAATGTTTTAATGTTTTATCGAATTAATATATAAATTGATAAATAAAAGAACCTCAAAAATCAAAATTAGATTTGAAAGGATCATTGAAGAGGGGAGGGGGGCAAAGAAGTTGGTGTATGGTCGAAAGCGTAACGAAGTCAACAAATTAAATTTATTCATTAAATTCCACAAATGGAAAGTAAGTCCAAACTTGTGACTTTGTAAGTTTCAAAGAGTTCATACATATCATATCTCTCCCCCACATAATTAGTCAACTCCCTCTTCTAACGTATCTATCTATCTATCTTTAATTTCAATCCATATGTCTCACCCATTTATTATATACATATATATATTGTTGCTTACAATGGAGATGTTGTGTATTTGATCTGATACATTTTTCATTATCCCGTGAATTTAGATATAGAAGAATAATATTTTATTTAATAAGAGTCCAATCCGAAATGGGTATGATATTGATTTTGTATTCTAAATTAAATTTATTTTTTAGATACAATTTGATTTTTATTTTAATTTTTTTTTATGTGCAATACACCTTTCGTAATAGCAAGATTTGGTGTAAAAAAAATACTAAGATATTTTGCAAAACATATCGATTTTTTTTTTTTGTGGTCGCATCTTTTGGTTGTTTCACTGTTTAGCAAAAGAGAACATGCTTACGACAAATCTCAAATCATTGGTGCAATGTTTAGGTCATTAACTTATGATACAGATGATGAGAGGGTCTATACATGCATATTCTTATTCGGAATTATTTAAAAAAATTAAAAAAATAATTCGGAAATTCACTGGATCTTTTGTCCGACTACATCTCCCAGAGAATCGGAGAAGTTTAGGTAAATATTTCTTCCCACGTTTGGATTTGAACCCAGAGTGAAAGCATGCTTTATATTATCTTTTTCGTGTTTTTATATGTAGATCATCATAGACCTGTTGTTAGTTATATACCTTATATTCAGCAAGCAGAGGAGAGAGGCATTGCCGTAGGCCCCAAGATAGTTGGGGGCATAGAAAAGACAGTAATGAAACAGATATGGTTGTAATAAAAGAGTTTGATTCTCTAGACCGTTTAGATTTGGTATGACTTTTGTCTTTCCCTTCCAATTTATCCAATCTCATTCATCGTCTATCGTCTTCTAGATTTTTTTTCTCGTTTATAACATTTACTAGATCAACTTCTAGAAATCTGAACCCAAATTTTGTTTGTTCAACCAGTGAAATAAGGATACAAAGTGTTTGTCCCGTTCTGAATTCAAACCTCAAATTTGGAAAGAAAACGATATATTTTAAATATCTTGTTGATTTACGATCCCTGACTAGTATAACCCTTGGTCATCGATATTCGTTTACAAACCACGTAAATATAGACATGATACTGTGTGTGTATATATATAATATTACGCAGAAGCAGATCCGCAAAATGCATTTACTTTTACCTATTTGGATGAATCAATGGGAGAGTTATTATTATATGCGATGATAATATAAAATACTTGCGCATGGTACAAATGGACCGCTTGTGAACAATGGTTATTGCTTGGTTAAAAAAACATATAATTAACCTAACCCTCAAATCATACTTTTTTTTATAGTACTGATGCTTTTTTGTCTCTTGTTTTCTTAATTCTGTTTTTATAATTTATGATTTCAGTGTGTTAATTTGGCTACAACGAGACCTTTTTACCATCCAAGTTGGATTCCCCCAAGCGAATTATTTAATACGTAAAGTCTTATATTATTCAAATCCGATAAATCTATATCTCATCTTATAATATATTATATATATATATATAATGTATATGACGATGGAGTTGCATTGTTTTCATTTACTGTGTGAACTTGTGCATGAGTGAACAAAAGCGTCGGATTTCTCTTTCTATTTCCGAGCTACAAAACTCTTCTCCTTCATTCGAACTTCCCCAAAATGGAAGCTTTATCCTTAATCTCGGCGGCCCTCACTCGGGTCGTCTTCATGGCTCTTCTCTTCTTTACATCTCATCCATGGCCGCGTACCGAAGCGGCTAAACCGGCTCAGGAGCTGGTTAAAGGGTTCGAGGCTATACCGGACTCGACCGTCGACTCCTTCCAGACTCTTCTCGCCGACCCCGACGGAAACTTCTCTTTCGGTTTTCTTCGGGTTAACCGGACCCGGTTATCTCTCGCCGTCATCCACCGGAACCTTTCGGACCCTGTTTGGGTTTCCGACCCGACTCGGTCAGCGAGCTGGTCGGGAAAAACGAGGCTTTTCTTCAATGGCAGCCTCGTAATTACCGACAGGTCGTCGAGGGTAGAATGGTCAACAGGCACCGACGGCGACAGAGTCGTGCTGCGAAACGACTCGAATCTCCAGGTGGAGAAGACGAAACCCTCCCAAACCGTGGTGTGGCAGAGTTTCGATTTCCCCTCAAATACCCTCGTCGAGAACCAGAATTTCACATCTGCCATGACCTTGGTTTCACCCAACGGGCTCTACTCGATGCGATTAGGCAACGATTTCATCGGCCTATACGCAGACGATTCGCACCAGATGTACTGGAAACACAAAGCCCTCGAAGCCAAAGCCAAAATCGAAGACGGGTCCGGTCCGGTTCACATCCGGATCAACCCGAACGGATACCTAGGTATGTACCAACGCGGCAACACCCCCGTCGACGTCGAAGCCTTCAACAGCTTCCAACGTCCGACCACTGGACTTCTCATCCTCCGGCTAGAACCCGACGGCAACCTCCGAGGATACTTATGGGACGGATCTCAATGGGCATTGAACTACCAAGCCATCTCCGACACGTGCGAGCTCCCGAACCCGTGCGGTCCATACAGCCTCTGCACACCCGGGTCGGGTTGCTCGTGCATCGATAAACAAACTCGACCCGGACCCGGATTTGGTGGCTGCACCCACTCGACGCAGGACCAGTCGGATCTATGCGACGGTGCTCCAGCGAGGTTTACGGTGCTGAGACGGAACGGCGTCGAAGTGCCGTTCAAGGAGCTGAGGGAGCACAAAACGGCGTCGTCTTCGGAGGAATGCGAAGCGTTTTGCGAGGAGAAGTGCGAGTGTTGGGGATCCGTCTACAATAACGGGTCCGGGTTTTGTTATTTGGTGAATTACCCGATCCATACGATGTTGGGCGTAGCGGACGAAGGGAAGGTGGGGTATTTTAAGCTGCGGGAGGGGGTAGGGAAGGGGAAGGGG